TCGTCAGATATTGTCCAAGATTAACCTTCAAGGTGGATATAGCTCACTAGCAGCCTCGCACCAATGACGTAGTTGATATCATCATTTACCCAGAATGCTTTGTGTGTAAATAAAATGGCCCCATCTGTGTTCAATTACATTTAAAAAAATTGCAAACCAAACAGCCTACAATATTTTTACAGTCTTTATTTTACAGTTAAAATAAATGTTTATCAAGTAAAGTTTAATGTTACAACTAATCGTGGATCCCTTTAAGATTTATGATGTTATCTGGATATTGAGTGCCTTTCCCCTCAGTTGTGTGTGGATAGAAGAAGACACATACACACTGCAACCTAACACTCACAAACACACAGTGGTTGGTGGTGTTGCAAACAGGACAACTTGTTATTAGCATAATGTATTTACCCATAAAGCCATGGGGTAGTGGCTGGCACCAAGGAAATGAGCTGTGATAGGATGCTAATGTAGCATAGCTCAAGTGTGGTGCCATCATTCTCCACTTGTTTACGATCACACGCACACAGCACAAACACACACATACACAAATATATTTTTTCTTTATCTGAGTAGTCAGCTGTGAGTAAACAACCACAGAGGTCGTCTTTTTCTTTGTAGTCTCATAAAGTCTCATGCCCACAGATGAATAACACCTAAAGCTGCACGTAGAGGCAGCGGAAACAAATGGGTGGCGTGCTCCCTGTCTGTGTCACTGCAGTCCGTTAATCCATTCGACAGCTGTGACATTACAGTGTCCGTCTCTCATTCTCTTTACTTACTTTGAATCAGCCTCTGTATTCTGACTGTTTGTGTTTTCATTTTCATTGCTGCAACTTTTTTAAGACCTGGTTTTAATTTGCCTTTCTTTCTTTTCTCCCCCCCTCTCCTCCTCCCCCTTTTTTTTTCATTTTCACTCTGGTTTGTCCATTTATGTTTATTTGTTTTTCCTCCTTATTTGGCTATGGTGTCACCCTGTTGTCACCATTGGTGCTTGTGTTTCCTCACATCTTCCACCCTCCCCTCCTCCCCTCCCCCTCGTGGTTGTGTTGTGTTTGTGTGCACAAAGTGTTCCGGCGGAGGCGCGGAGCCGACTGCTCCTGAAATGCTCCAAGTGTGGCGTGATCTCGAGCACCGCTCTGTCCAGCTCGACGGCCAGCAGCGCCATGTTAGTCCATCTTCATCTTTCTACCCCCGCCCCTCCTGATTCCTCCCTTCTCTTCTTCTCCTATTAACTTCCATCATCTTCTCTACATGTCCCCCCACTTCCCCGTTCTGTTCCTTTAATCTCAGGCTTTCAGTAATGATGCAGGATAACATCCAGATTTGTCTGGGGAAGCAAACACAGTTTAATGAAAGGGAAAACACTTGCAACGCAAGCGGACTTTTTGATCCAATGTGGGCTTATCCTTTGGCTGAGCTGTGTAAATTTGACTTGTGTCAAACAGTATATGTAGATTACTTTTAGATGCTTTTTTAATTTAATGAATTTATTTGGCAAATACTTAAACCCACAAAATATCCAGAAGGTTGTCAATAAGGCATACTGTACAACTGTCAATGTTGAAACTAAACACTTCTAGTAACTTCTTTTAAGTTCCTGATAGGATTTTGTCAAGGCCAAAAGGTGTGATGAAAACACATACTTTGGGATTTTAAAGGCACAGTGTGTAGGATTTGTTGTTTTCAGTGACATCTAGTGGTTGAGTGGTTGAATCATCCTCCCTGGTCCTCCCCCAAACCCCACCCCTGCTTCCAAACACAAAGGAGTTGCTACAGTGTCTCTCAGGTGTCAAAAACCTTTGATAATTCCAACCTCGATGTCTACCAGCAGCTTCAGGGCTAGTGATGTTGCAAGTGGTAAGATTATGAGCTTTAATAAGTAAAATTATCCCAGCTACAATGACAGACAACAAATATTACATTTATAGTATTACAACCAAAACCGGTTTTGACGCCGCCACCGCAGTTTGTCCTTCATGAGCCTTCGTAGACAAGATGGCGGCTGCCTGTAGTGGCAACCCGCGACCATGGAGATATAAACAGCTTTTTATAAGATAAAAATAATAAAACAAGGTCTTTGTCTGCAATGATTAGACATGTTTTTTTATTACTGTCATTAGTGATTATCTCAATTTCGGCTAAAATAATTGACAAAATCCTACACACTGTGCCTTCAAAGAGGACATATAATGTAAAATCCATGTTTTTAGCCATCAAATGCATTTTGTTGTGTACTTTGAGTCTGTGGGAAATTTGAATTTAGTCTCTCACAGTGCTACAAAGATACATTTATAATGTGTCCGGGTCATATTTTTCAACTCATTCAGTTTTCTCTATTTTCTTAATAATGATGTTTTCTGAACAATTACGTCACAGAAGTTGCGACAAACCTGCTAAATAAACTCTGGACTTACTAACTGCATTTTCCTCATCTCCAATCTCCTCTGGCTCCAACATGTAAGGCTGGGTGGACTAGGGTTGGGCAATATTGGCAAAAAAAATTAATCACAATTAATTGTGGTATTTAGCCGATAACGATTAATTTGATGATTAATCCCCTGGAGTCCCTGGACACCCTTATGTCCTTGTCACACGAACAATTTAGTGGCAAAGATTTGCTCTTCGTAAAAATCTGTTCCAAATTGTGTCAAAATGGCCACATCATATTTTAAATTGTGTTGATAGATAAATAAATTATAGAACTATTTTTAAAATGTTCATCATATTTGAAGCGGAGAGGAGCACCGAGCAGACTCTGCCTGGTGGCATTAATCGTATTAGTCGTCAAGTGCCAAATAATAATCGATTAATGTTTTTCTGACGATTAATTGCACACAATACGATTATGCCCAACCCTAGGGTGGACAAGTCCGTTGTTGATATATATTTAATTAATTTGTAAATAAAAAGTTACTGCACAGCCATATAGTCATAAACTCCTCAATCAAACTAGAATGGACCAGTCTGGAAACTAGTGGGTGACACGGTGTGAAGTGCCTCATTCGAAATTAAAGAGACAGCATCAAAACAAGTTGATCTCAGACACACCACAGAAAAGTGGGGATAGAGGGGCTTGTGGAGTTACAGTAAGGAGGAATTCAAACCAAAGCATTGCAGTTCCACTTTATATAGACTCCAAATGAATGATTTAAATGTGAAAATGAAGGATTTGAAAGCATAAATCTCATGTAATACATTAAATGTAATAATGTTTAGAGACATTTACCACACCAAGAATGGAATGTTTCCTTCAGGTAATAAAGCTGATATCTCACTGGGGGGTACACGAACCACATTCAAGTCCTCTAAATACATGTCTTGTGACTTTTGTGGGACTCCGAACGTCTTCACGAGTCACACAACCCTGTCTCTTGAGTTTTGAGGATGTTCAAATAAATAAATAAATAAATAAATAAATAAATAAATAAATAAATAAATAAATGTGCAAGTACTTTTCTCCTAAAATAGCCACTGACTCACGATAAGCAATTCCAGCCAGTTTCAATCCCATTTGAATTTTGCCAAAGGCATCTTCAACCTGTCTCCGGAGCACTAGAGCGGCGTTGTGACTTTTGCACTGGAGTTCTCCTCTGACAGAAAGCTGATTAATAATAATGTTGAGAAATATTTTGTAAATGTTTCTGTCTTGATTTCAAAAATGTACTCAAACATGAAATCATAAATGTGAGAGTGGCTGTTGAGATGCTTATTTGAATTGATCGGGATGTGGGCGGAGTCAGGCAACAAAATAATGTGCACGGTCAAAAATACAGTTCTGCATGCTATGCATACAAAAATAACAAAAAAAAAAAAAAACATGAAAACTGCCACTCAAAATGCAGCCGCTTGGACTATTAGTCGCTAGGTTATAAATACTCAGTGCATTTAAAAACTCACAGCATTTTCAGCATTTTTTTTTTGTGGATTTCTTTTCACCAACTGATCTCCCAACAGATGTAACTCAGTGAGAAACCACTTTAAAGTCAAACTTTTATAAAGTCATAGCTCTGCTCTGAAACTTCTGTCACACAAGGGTGCCAGCCTTCAGCAGAGCCTGAGAGTGGAAACTGCAAAAAAAAGGGACAATTTGACCTGGCAGCACTTAGAGAAGATGTGTCATCAAATCCTGTTTTGCCTCCATGCATTCCAAATTAATAAATTGAGTTTAATGAAAGAAGAAAAAGCAATATAACAAATCAATCAACTAAAGTTTAAAAATGAGTTACATTAATTTTCTTGTCTGAGATTGTCTGAAAGGAAGTGAGGACTGTGATTTATTCACCTATTCAATTTTTTGATACAAGCCCTGAACACACCAGAGTGTGTTTTCCCATTTAGTAGAGGGAGAAATTAATCAAAACAATGTGGCAGCCATGTTAACAAATTAAGAAAGAGAAAGATTTAAAAAGCTTGAATCAGAAAACTAAATAAATAAATTAATAAGGTGACATTACAGGGTAAATAAACCAATTTCAATTTCCAATCTGACAGCTGAAAGGAAGTTGTACCCAAAATAAATTGTTCAGTTGCCCCGATGGTAATTATTTACCATATTATTCCTAGGTGCAGGTGCACACTTAGTGAAAGTGGGTGTACCAAGTTCACTGAAAACAGCAGGCATCTGGAACACAATCCAATAATTGGAGCAATTTCACAAATCACAGACATTTTGAAACTGGTGTTGGACATTATGTCAACTGTCCGAGCAACAGCACTCTCTGCCTTAACCATTTTTAAAGTCTGAAGTTTGTTATGAACCTCTCGGAGTTCAACATTAGAGCCTAAAACGGAGGGTGTTCTTGCCTCATTTCACAGTTACTTTGTTTTACTCAGCTTTTACGGAGCTTCAGTTCTAAATTACAGCTCTTGAAACGAAACACCGCCTCAGCAGTGCAGGCAGAAAAAAGCCCCTCTTGAACTTTGTGCATTAGAACTCAGTAAAAGGATGTTAAGCACTGCAAAAAAAATAAGTATGTAAAAAAGCCGACTGAAGAGATAGAGGTAGATGCAATTAGTGTACATTTATTCCCCCCACACTCATTTTCTTCCAGTGTCTGAACCTCTATGTCCTATTGTGTGTTGACATTTTAAAATGCAAGACTAGTGTACCAAGAATAAAAGAAAAAACAATACTAGTCTCTCATCGGACCCTGGATTGTAACTCTCTGGGTTGTTGTCATGGTTTCATGATCAAAGCAAACAGTCTCTAAATGAAAGTCCTTCCTCTCTCAGTAATTTCAGTCATCTAGCCAGGTCCTTGAGAAAATGTTTCATTATAGTTTTCTTCTTAATGTCCTCAGTTTAATACAGTTATTCTATTCTCACGTGTTCTTCCAAAATAAGGGATAATGGTGGGGAAATTTGATTATTTCACTAAAACATAAATTAGAACCATTTATTTGTGGGACTTGCAGGAAAATTCACTTTTATCATCTATCAAATTATGTTAATAAAAGCTGAGTCTTTTGTACTCCTGCTTGTAGAGCACTATGATGTGGGTCTTTTAAATTATCAGACAGCAGAACTTAAACAAAAGTCCATCCAGTAAATTTTCTGCAGTTTGCACACCAGTTGTTTTGACCTTAGTAAGTTTGTAACACTTATTTAATCATTGTAGCAGAGTTGTTCAATGCTTTAAGGCTGTGTTTGCAACTTACATTAATGCAAAGTGAACTGCAGGTGAGTGAAAACAAATTACTTCCAAAAATAAATACCATAAATTCTAAAGATTAGGGGATTTTTTTTTTTCTGGCTCAGTGAAGACAGATATATATATATAT